TGTACTTATTACTAGCAGGCTATTGTAATATTCCAGATGATACTAAATGTTACATAATACTTCCTTGAGATAAATGTATAGTATATATCAGGTGCCTCAAAGAGAGCCCAGGTTCTCAACTGGCTCAGCCATGTTAATATTGTTATTATTATCCATTCTGTATCTGTGTTTTTCTGGCTAAATAAACTGTTTCAATTCAAACTGTTTCAATTCAATTCAACATACACACCTCAAAGTAAGTGTACTTTACTGCATTTTTTTTTTTACTTTGTATGTATTTTTCTGTGAGCTGGAACCAATTACCCAATATTCCATTGAAACAATGGATTCGGTTAACGAACGACCTTCTGGAACAAATTGTGTTCGTTAACCGAGGGACCACTGTACAGTATTGTAGAGGAAAGCCTTCGATAAAGACGGTTCTACTAACGACGATTCATATTTACGACCCTGGTTAATTTAGGACCCAATTCAATTTACACCGTTATTTTATTCGTATTTATGATGAAAATAGAATAAAAAAAATAAAATAAAATTATCATATAAACAATACCTAAATCCCGATAAGTACAGTAGGATCTCACGTTTCGCGACTAATTGGTACCAGTTTTAGCATCACAAAATTTTAAATTGCGAAACGAGTGACATTGAAATACGGGACATGTAAATAAGCCAAATCGGTTCTGCGGTGTTACCCGAACCCCCCTATAATGACCTACATCCCACCCAGAAAATGACATTACTGTAACGTATTCATACATACTGTTGATAATAATATTTATATACAGTCGGAGCTTAACATACGCGGGTTTATAATACACGGATTTGCAAATACGCGGATTGCCCTGCCGGAGGAATATTCTGTACATTGAAGTACATTCAAATCGCGCGCCATTCAACTCGCGCGTGGCACCGAACACGGGACACCGCCCGCTCCCGCAACCTCACACACACACGCATAGCTCTCCCTCACTCAGTCAGTCTCGCTGTAACCACGCTTGTGTTGACATCAGCATTGTAGTTGCAAAAATATTACATTTCCGTGAATGTATTATATCAAGCACAGTATGAATAGAATATCACTAATATAAGAGTATTTTAACCGAAAACTACTAAAAAAACGAGTAACATCTCTTGAACATCGGAAGGATAGGTAAAGTCTCTTGTTTTCATGTAGTTTATCCTAATTTACATTGAAATGCATTACGTTTCAGCAAAACTACTATTTATTTCTGAGAATATGGAAATTTAATATTTTGCTGAAATGACGTACGTATTACAGTGGAAAGTGACGAAAGCAATGACTCGCTTTCTTTCGTTCAAAAGATGTTACCGTAATCGCTTTTCGAATGGTTTTCAGTTAAAAAACTGTTGTATTACAATAATATTCTATCCTAATTCACTTGTGATGCAACAGTTTTTTTAACTGAAAACCATTCGAAAAGCGATTACGGGAACATCTTTTGAACGAAAGAAAGCGAAAGTCATTGTTTTCGTCACTTTCCACTGTAATACCTACGTCATTTCAGCAAAAATATTACATTTCCGTGAATGTAGTATATCAAGCACAGTATGAATATAATATCATTGTAATATAACAGTATTTTAACCGAAAACTATTAAAAAAACGAGTAACATCTCTTGAACATTGGAAGGTTAGGTAAAGTCTTTTGTTTTCGTCATGTATTTTATCCTATTTTACATTGAAATACATCACGTTTCAGCAAAACTACTATTTATTTCTGAGAATATATTCATTCAGGCACAGTTTAGGTAAAATATACATGTGCTGTAACATTTTTTTAATTGAAAACGATTCGAAAAACACGTACCCTCTAGCCCTGTTCAAGGAGAAGACTGGGAGGAGCTGTTTGGTGCTTAAGACAATGACAAGGAAAATGATTTTGATGGATTTTAATGAAAATATTCAGAAAGACCCTGGCACTGTCAAGGAAAGTGGCTGCTGAAGGCTTCCGGGACATGGCAGAGGACGAGATTAGGGAGCTAATTGAAGAGCACGACACTGAGCTGACCGAGGAGGATCTACAGGAGTTAGTAGACTCAGGCAAGGAAGAGGAAGCGAAAGGGAAAGAGGATGAGGAAGAGCACCAAGAAATAACGTTGGAGAAGTTGGGGGAGATGACCAGGAATATTGAGGCACTGAAAAACCTGGCCTATAGTATGGACCCCTCCATGGTGCGTGCCCTGAAATTCATGCGAGGGATGGATGACATTTTCGCTCCATACAAAAACATCATGGAAGAAATGAAAGAAAGAGACGACAACTCCCCATCACCATGTTCTTTGATCACCGAAGGAGAGATTTAACACCATCAATCACTGGCGGCAGTGAGGAAGCAGCTGAATCCACCGTCGCCCCCACTTCACCACCCGTTATGGAATTGAGTGACGATGATCCCGATGACACCCGTCCTGTCGCCAAGGATAGGTACTGTACAGTAAAGTGAAATTTTTATCTCTTTTTTTTTTAATAGCTTTTCTTGCCATGTTTATTGTTTGTAAAAATGCACAGCACAGTACAGTTCAGTACTGTACATAGGAAGTGGAGGTGTAGTTATTCACAAAACATTTGTGTTCGTTGTTGGCAGTAGTGACGGTGAGGAGGGAGCGGAGGGAGCGAGTTGGGAGGCGTGGTGACCTTGGACGCGAGAGCAGGGGCGAGTGGAGATGCCAGCCAGTACATTACGGGTGTATTAATTGTTTTTATAGCTATTTTTGCATTTTAATATTAAATATTGTACATTACGTTTCAACAAAACTACCATTTATTTCTGAGAACATGGAAATGTAATATTTTTGCTGAAATGATGTACGTATTACAGTGGAAAGTGGGATAAAATTGTGACGAAAGCAATGACTTTCTGTTTCTTTCGTTCAAAAGATGTTACCGTAATCGCTTTTCGAATGGTTTTCAGTTGTGGGATTATAAGGCTAATGATAGGATAGAATATTATTGCAATACAGTAAGAGTACAACAGTTTTTTAACTGAAAACCATTCGAAAAGCGATTACGGTAACATCTTTTGAATAACGAAAGAAAGCGAAAGACATTGTTTTCGTTATGATTTTATCCCACTTTCCACTGTAATATGTACGTCATTCCAGCAAAAATATTATATTTCCATATTTATTTCTGATAATACCTATATTCATTCAGTCACAGTTAAGGTAAAATATACTTGTGATGTAATATTTTAATGATAATACGGTATCGTAGTTTTCTTTTGTTTCAAATTTAATTAACAAAGATTGATGTTTCAAATGTAATGAACAAAAATTTATGTACAGTATCTATAAATAAACTTTAATAAATGAATACTTTGTTTTACATTGTCCTGTGCTACCATACCATGGATTTGGCTACTTTGGGCTTGCTATGATGACGCAAGAGATCTGCCCTGGCAACTGTATCGACACTCACAGCTGGTGGTGCGTTGGTGCATCATTTCCATTGTTTACTGGTAGTTACTGGTAAATATTTTTCAACCTAACGAAACTATTACCCGTTTAGAGGTCGACCCCCAATTTTTTGCCAAATAATTTGGTCTTAAAAACTTGAACTGCACACAGGTATATACGGTAAATAAGGACATGGGGGGGACCAGGTTTTTTTTGGGGGGGCAGCACATATACGCAGATTTTTAACATCCACGGGTATCTCTGTTACGTAACCCCCGCGAATTCGTATTCAAGGAGTTGTTGGAGCTTCCAATAACTTGACGACATAAACCACTGACTCTTCAGGCTTCCACGCCCTTGACTCTTCAGGCTTCTATGCCCTTAACTCATGAGACATAAAGGCAAGCATGAACTTAGCATGCTTCCCTGTTGGGCACTGTAAACGCTTCTGCGCTTCACCTAACACAAGGATGTAGGGGAGTGCCAAAAAAAAAAAAAAAAATTCTACATAAACGATCTAGATACTGGGATCAGCAATGACATAAACAAGTTGCGGATGACACCAAAATAGGGCGGCAGATTAATTCAGGGCAGGATGCAAATGCATTACAGGAGGATCCAAATAAACTGCAGGGGTGGTCTGAAAAATGGCAAATGAAATTCAACACCAGCAAGTACAGCGTACTTAATATTGGAAAAACAAATACTAACAATGTATACAGCCTTAACAACATCAACCTAGAGAAGTCGACTTGTGAAAGAGACCTAGGGGTACTTGTAAGCCCGGACCTACAGCCTACAAAACAGTGCGTTAATGTTCGAAATAAGGCAAACAGAGCATTGGGTTTTATATCTAGAAGTGTAAGTAATAAGAGTGCAGAGGTCTTATTGCAACTATATCTTGCTCTAGTCAGGCCACACCTCGATTATGTGGTTCAGTTCTGGTGCCCTTATTATAGAATGGATATCAATTCACTAGAGTCGGTGCAGTGAAGAATGACGAAAATGATTCCGGGACTTAGAAACCTTCCATATCAGGATAGGTTAAAGAAACTTAACTTGCATTCCCTAGAAAGACGAAGAGTGCGGGGAGATATGATAGAAGTATTTAAGTGGGTGAAAGGAATCAATACAGGGGATATAGATAAAGTTCTTATAATATCCGAGCAGGATAGGACTCGGAGCAACGGATTTAAGTTGGATAAGTTTAGGTTTAGGAGGGAGATAGGAAGGAACTGGTTCACAAATAGGGTGGTGGACAAGTGGAACAAGCTTAGCAACTTTGTAGTAAGTGCTGGAATGCTGGAAAATTTCAAAAGGAGGCTAGATAGATTCATGATTGATAGAGAGTGGTAGTAACTCTCGACAGGAGCTGCCATGCACAGGCCAATCGGCCTATTGCAGACTCCTTATTTTCTTATGTTCTTAAACAGTGTCACAAGCAAACAACAGACCCATTTTTCATTCCCTCTCTCTCTTACTTCAATTCTTGCTACTAATTAAAATTATCTGGAACATTAATACACAGTAGATGCACCATATTAATAGATAACCTTATCATGCTACTTTATTTTTCTTCACTCCTTGTCTCCTATTCAATTCCAGTCACCACTTGTTGGGGAAATCAGTGTACAGTGCATATATTTATGAGATAAGAACCTACCTGGTGGAAAGCCTGCCTTTTCTGCCAGATCTACAGCAGCAAGTGCAGACAGTGGTGTGTCTTCAGCTGGCTTTATAACACACGTACATCCAGCAGCCAAGGCAGCTCCAGCCTTACGAGTGATCATGGCATTTGGGAAATTCCACTAGAATAAATAAGAACACTCATACAGTAACATCTACGTAGGTGTGATCCTTTTGTCTGCTACATAATAGAAATACTGTACTCTTTTTTGTGTGTGACTGTTATTAATGCCAGACAGCACTTCCTATCACCAGAAGTAACATAACAGAGATCAGGGATTTTAAACTACTCACATATACTATACTGTACTTTAATTGAATTATTTCAGAATTTTTAATACATTACTTTCAACCTTCAACCACTACTTGAAACTTTCCTGACTAGATTGTATAGGTGCACCACCACAATTTAAGGATAATTAATTAGATAAAAACTTAACATTATACTGTAACTACCTTATATAATATATTACGAGCAGAGGTACTTACTGGAGTAATCATTGATGCAACTCCTATGGGTTGACGAAGAAAGAATAACTCTTTGCTAGATGCAGGACTCTGTGCCACCTCACCCTAATCAAAAAATACAACATACTGTATACAAACCTGCCACTAAGAATTATTGTAGTATAAAAGGTATTTCATAAATCTTCAAAATGAAAGAATAATAATAATAATAATGAGACAGTAATTATCAATTTCTGTACATGGAAATTACTTTAGTACAAGAATTGTGTTTATGCAGACAGGAAAGTTAAGAAAGATACATTTTTCAATCTAAAAGTCATTATGAACAATTTAAGATGAAGAGTACTGTACTGTGCTTACATATATTCTCTTGGCCTCTTCAGAAAACCATTCCAGAAAAGAACTTCCATATCCAATTTCTCCTCGAGACTCAGACAATGGCTTACCGGCCTCAGCAGTCACAATTAATGCCAGGTCCTCTTTGTGTTGTTCCATTAAGTTGTACCAATTTCGGAGGAGAAGTGAGCGCTCCTTTAATGAGCAGAAAAAGTGATAAATTTATCAAAAGTAGCTATTGTATCAGAAACATGTACCGGGTATGTATTCTATACAGGTATCCATTGGTTAGCGTTAATTCGCTTTAGCGAAAAATTTTTTTATACACCCTTTCTTACTAAACGTTACGTCACAATTTGGTTTAGTGTTGACTTGACTCACTGGGAAGGGGGAAAACTGGGATGAGTTGGCTACATATGTCAATGTCATGAAACTGTAAATGTTGTATAAAAATCCTTATAATACCCTAATGTGGCTTACAAATAAAGAAAATATGCACTGTATAATATAAAACTATAAAATAAGAAAAAACAAAGAGTATGGGTGATGTGTGGAGGCAGTGGGCTGTAAATGTGTCACCACTTACCAGACGAGCCACACTCCCTCCCTGATGTGACATCTTGGCACACACACAGAGCACAATGGCAGCAGCATCACATATCTCTGAGTTAACTGGGTGATTACTTGGCTAAACTGTATCATGTCACCCAGAGGATGGAAGGAGCTATTTTTTTGCATAAAATATATGCTTTTGTATTCTATGATGTGCCATGTAGAG